GGTGTCATCAGCACAGAGAGTTACTGTCAATGTTAAAACTGGAGATGTGTTTTTTACCGAGCGGGAGGAGATCTACTGGGCAGCGCAGCAGGGCCCTAGATGCAGCCTCTGGGGTCTCCACGGCACAGGGTCTCATGAGGAGTTCCACGGCCTTCGCACGGAGACACAGCAAGAGCGGCGTGAGAGGCGAGGGTGCCACTGGGAGAGATTTAAGATATGCCAACGTAGCCACGAAGGTGCGCTTGGAGAGGATGGAGCGAGTGGTGTCTGGTGTCACGAGCAGCGGAGAGGTCCAGAAGAGCTGGGAGTGAGAGGAGAGGAGAAAATTGGTCGCTGATCTCGTGTCAGTGGAATGGCCTTGTGACTGGCGTCACGAGAGCATGGAGATCTCGACACTATAAATGCCCACATTAAACATCAATGCTACATCTCTCCCTTGAGTTTCATCAGCAGCAGCAGCCGTAGACAATCCACTACGGGTTGAATGTCTCCCCAAACAGCCACTAACCCTCACGATGCTGCAATGTAATAATAATCTACCTAGCGCTTTGCACATGAACCAAAATCATCGCTCCATCTCCTCAGTGGATGGGCTCTCAGACTCGCTCTATCCCTTGGCTCCCTTGGGTTTATGTCCTTAAATCTCAAATCATCCTCAGAAATCTCTTGGGCAATCTCGTCCTATATTTCTTCAGATCAACGTGGACCCAACTCCTGGAGACTGCGTTGATAACAAGTTTCTCCATCAGCGTCTCTGAAGAAGGGCCATTGCCCGAGACGTGAGCAATTATGCTCGTTTATGTAATAATTAATTATAGGGCCGCGGTCTTATTGAAGAATGTTTTGAGTTTTAGTTACGTCTGTTTGTGTGCGATTGCCAACACACTGCCACAGAAGAATATTGTTTAAGCCTTTAAACGCCACAGCGTTATTCGTAGCTTGTTCATTTTGGGTTAGATCATTGTATAGGTATAATGCAAATGTTCAGCTGTACCCTTCGCTACCCGACAGAGCCGTTTAGAGACACGCTTTGAGAGTATTTGGCTGCTGCTGTACATTTCCACATTAGAAGCCAACTCGTTGAGCTATCATTTGGGCCAGGTCGCTTCTGCAAAAGAACTGTAATAGCTCAGAGGGCCTTACCTGGTAAAATAAAAATGGTTTAGTTCAGAGACAATTAAATCAAGTTGTTACACATCACGAGCAATATGTCCCAATTGATTTGTTGTTTCATCCAAAGGAGAGGAGGAGGGAGGAATGTTGAAAAGCAAGCAAAATGTTGATAATTGTTTGTCGCAGGAGATTGTATCGGGCATCACGACAGCAGCCCAACTCTCGCGTGAGCGACATCTTGTGTTGCCTCAGCGTCACTAACGCCCCCTGCGTGTGTGAAACCGGCTAACGAAAAAAAAATATTGCCTCTTATCGTGTCTCCTGTTCTCGCGATTGTGCAAAGCAGTCCAACAACTGGGGTGATCATCTGATAGACAAATTATTCACCCCTCTGCTTTACGCAACTTTCCCGATGACTTCCTCTCTTTGCAAAAAGCGTTCGCGTAGAAAGCGACACGCAGAGTTGCGCTGCTCCCAATCCACTCGCCCTGCTTGAGTGGCACGTGGTCACCACATTGCGTGTGCGACACTGTCAGCCTTGCCTAGATCACCAACTCAAAGAGCTGTGCTACTCGCACACGTCAGGCAGACATTGCTCCCAACCATTTGCTCCACATGCATAGCACGTGACGCTATACATTGCGTGTACCTCCGATGAGCACTGTTGTGTATGTACGTTGCGAAAGAAGTTCAACATAGATACATACATAGACCACCATCTCCAAAGAGCGCTGAATGTGGATTGTTTGGGCCGTGATATTGTTTGGACCATCTACTTTCAAGAGAAACGATCACACCATTATTCACTTTGATTTAAAGCTTTTGTGACTGCAGGGATTATTATTCTTGGTTCTTTCGGTAAAGTCACTTAGAAGGGAAACAAAAAAAATGTGAAAACATCACTGACAATCTTTTTTCAAATTTTCTTGCTGTGGTTTTCACACCTGATGATGATTGCTTGTGTTGCAGTCGAAACGTCGTGATAATTTTATTGTTTTATATATATTTTTTTCCCTTCAACGTGACTTTACCGGAAGAACCAAGAGTACCATTATACTTGTTAATGTAAACGAGTATAATGGAAAATGAGCCCCGTCGTCGCACACGAGCACCGTTGACATGCCAATCTCTCCCTCTAACGCAGCTGCTGTGCGTGCGTGCGGCGACGGGACTCATTCCCATCTCTGGCCCAGCCTACTTACCCCTGGGTGACACCCACCTCAAGCCTGTCTATATAACCTCTTGTTGCAGCAGCTCTTTCCTGTTCGGAAGTTCTACTGCTGTATCTTTTCACCTGATGACGATTGCTTGTGTTGCGTTCGAAACGTTGTGTTTTATTTTTTTCTCTTTTTCTACCCACGTGACTTTACCGAAAGAACCAAAGTATAAGAACGGTACCCAAACCGATCGCGAATACGAGAGAAGGCTCGCATGTTCCCTGACACCGCCACCATGAATAACACGCGCACGGCACGAGTGCCCCACAAACAATGACCCTCCTGCCGGACAAACACGCCGTTTGCACCGACAGCTGCAGCTCTAGCTCCAGTCACTCTCGCTCACCGGCTGGGCAAGCGCCCCTCCTTGTCACTCGATACTGCCGTTGTCACTGTACCTGTGAACTTTCGCTCATTGCTTCCTCCACGCACATTGCAGGACCACGGTCTACCAGACGCTGACCGTTTCGTCTCCTCATTAACACGGTGCTCAGTCACCACCACCACCACCACACTGCAGGTCACACTCACTCACCCACGTGCCACACTGCAGATCACAACACACACTCCCCTACTCACTCATGACGCCGCCGGTCACCTCACTTCTCTTTCTGCTTCTTCCCACGCACTGTCACACTTTAGAATTCCCTCCTGCTATCATCATCATCATCGTCATCTCGGTTCCTAAATTTGTATAACCTTGCTCAATTCCAGACATGCGATAACTGTTAGGGGCCGTCCATAAATTGCGTCACGCGATTTTGGACGATTTTTTACCACCCCCCCCCCCCCCCTTCGTCACACGGCGTCACAAAAAGTCAGACGCCCCCTCAAATATGACGTCACAAAGCTCTGCCCCCCCCCCCAAAAAGAAAACATGCTTAAAATCGCTTTACACTATTGCCATTTTAGTGCGTATTTAATATGGCGCTGCACTCTGATGTTGTAGGAGAAAAAAAGGTCTATTTAATTAAGCAGAACGTGTTGTCTATATTCTTAGCTCTTTCGGTAAAGTCACGTTGATGGGAAACAATAAAATAACGTGACTTTACCGAAAGAGCTAAGAATATGAATTACTGCAGTCACGAAAGCTTTAAATCAAAGTGTTGTTTATATTTATTTAAAGTTGCGCATTTTGATGTGACGTCACATTTCTCAACCCCCCCTCCCTAGATGCGTGACGTCATTTATGGACGGCCCCTTATCAAAAAGGGTAAAGGTGTAGCCCTGCAAGTGCTCGCTCGTGCCACTACTGGCCGAAGGGCTCCCCTCAAAGGGGGGCAGACGAACGACGCTCACAACAATGAGTGGAGCTCCGGACGGCTAAGACGCAGAGTTAGCACTGTGAGGAGGATAGTTGGTGCATTTGCCGGTCGTCTCAGTCAACCCATGCCACACGGGTCTGTCCCATGGACTCCAGCCAGCGGGTCTTCGACACTTTCACGTGGCGACGTCACCGCCGCTTATTGTTGATCGGCGGTCGTTGTTGTTGTTGTGCCGCAGTGGCGAGTGCAGGCGTGCGCGTGCGTGGCGCCCGGCGAGGCGGTGCTCGTGAACGTGTACAGCCTCCCGGGGGGCAGCGAAGCTGCGTCCGTGTTCTACACTGCTCCCGGTACCGCCCGCACGCTGCCACGCCGTACGAAGCCTCGCCGCGGTGACCACTGGCTGTGCGGGTGCACGTCACGTGCCACACGCTCTTGACACGTGGCTCAGAAATGCACGAACAAAATTGGGTTTTTTTTTGTTTTTGTTTAAAGAAGCGCGGTGATACGGACGCTTGCCTCGGATCGCATTGCGAATGCGTTGATTGTAGAACGCACGTAGGATGACATCAGTCACACTGTCAAGACAAGTGAGTGGGATCGAGCAGGACACGGCACAGCTAGAAGGGACGATAGTCGATGGCCAACACTAATTATGGAGTTGCAGAAAAGGAACGGAAGTCATTCGAAAGGAGATGGAGCGATGAAATCAGCTCATGTCGTGCGCAGGTGCTGGGTCGACCATGAGAGATGGTGACAGAATGGGAAAGACTTCACCCAGCAGTCGATAGATGGTGGCTGATGATGACGATGATGCGGTCGTACACAACCTAACCGCACGCCGCTGCCCCGCCGCTTGCCGCAGGTTGCCACGAAGAGGAGGTAGCCAGGGGCGCCACGTGGAGCTGCCACGGTGAGCTCCCGCCTGCCCGCCTGCCCCCCGTGCCCGCCGATCCACAATGGCACAGACTCACAACGGGTACTGGCACGCCCACGCTCCGAGCTAGGGCTGCCGCGATATGCTTGGTCGCGGTACGATCCGGTACCACCGTGGGCGTCTCGCGAGCGTTCGGTCACCCCCGCGCGTGAGCGGTGGACGTGGCTCAAGGTGGTTGGCTCCGTAGCCGAGCTATCAGCTTTTGCGCGACCTCATCCTCTTTCGGAATAACAACTCCTAACCGCCAGCTGGTACGTGGACCTCGCTACTCACAGAGACGTCCGCTGCCCCCCCCCCCCCCCCCCCCACTCAATCTCTCTCGCCCCTGCGAGAAGACCTCCCCACTCGTTTCTCTAGACCAGTAGACCAGGGGTCGCAAACCTGCGGCTCCGGAGCCACATGTGGCTCATTGAGGACTGTTTCGGGACGTTATTTATTAGGGACTGTCTTGTATTCACATGCATTGTGGCTCTTGAAATATATATTTTACCAAATTTCAAACAAAAACGGCTCTTCTTGTTGTTTTGGTTGTCGACCCCTGCTGTGGACACACCAGCTCCTAAATCGCCTACCCATTCCCCACTCCCGTGCTCCCCGTGCTCCCCCCCAGGTGAGACGGAGCTGCAGGTGGGAGTCCTCCCCGTGGGGGACCAGGGGCTGAACGTGAGCTTCGCACGTGGGCCTCATTCTGCGCCACGGCGAGGGCGCTGGGTGGTGCGGGCATGCCAGCGGAGTGCCACGGGCGCCTGCTCCTGGGAGCTGGAGCAGCTCAGCGTGGACGAGGGCGAGGAGGAGGGGGAGGAGTGGGGTGCCGTGCTGACACAAGTGCCCAGGCTGCCCTGCGTGTGTGTGCAGGTTTGTGTCTGTGGGAAGGATAATCGACAGTGGGGTGAGCGGTGGTGCAGTGGTTAGCGTGCTGGGCTACGAACCCGGCGACCGAAGTTCGATTCCCGCACACGGCCAACGTCGGTGACGATTATCTGAACCGGTCCTGGGCCTCCCCTAGGTCGTCTCAGCCTCAAATACGTACCTGGTGAGATATGTAAACATCACCGCTGGGGAGGCAAAGGCGTCCGGCGTGGTGCTGGCCACCCACCCCCTCGTCTGTTGTCCCAGCCTTCATAGGTGCTCGCTAACAGCACTTGCCCTATACTGGGGATCTTTGTCTTTGTGTGTGGACCTTCATAGGTGATGCTTGATATCAGCACTTACCCCAAGATTCTGTTAAGACTTAAAAGGGGATGAATACCTGATGCATATGTAAACATTTATCACTGGGGAGACAGCAGTGGCCAGGCATGTGTTGCTGGCCACCCACCCCCTCGAGTACCATGTTGGCCGACCTTCATAAATTCTTGCTATGTGCACTTGCCCCAACTTTCTGTTAAGGCTATAGGATGAATCTTTGTATTTGTGTGCACAAACTCAAGGGCAGGTGTGTATGCATAGACTGGTGTGTATGAGTGTGAGTGCACAGGTGTGTGTGCACGCACACATGCATATTTTTCCGTGAGTACACAGGTACGCGTGTTCACAGCTGTGTGCTCGCCTGCTGGGGCTCACCACGGTGGCGAGATGTTAACTACCTCGCCTAGTATACAGATCATGGGTTCAATCTCGACGCTAACGCCTGTATATTTGGAGTTTGTATGTTCTCCCCGTGGTGGCGTGGATTTTTCTCTGGGCCCTACAGTTTTTCTTTTCCACATTCAGAATCAACACGCATTTATATTACTTGGCTTGTGTAAATTTTCACGTGATAAGCCACTTTGTTGAGCTACCATTTGTGGCCAGCTCGCTTTGGAAAAAGAGCTAAATAGCTCAGTGGGCCTTTCCTGTTAAAATAAAATAGTTTAGTATTACTCTTTGTAATTACTGCAGTCACGAAAGCTTCAAATCAAGTTTGAAGTTTAGTTTTAGTTTGATTAGCACCGCGGTTCCTCTGCTGGCCTGTAATTGGTAATCCCTCGGCTCTCATGTTTCTCGCTGCCTCCTCCCCCCCCACCTCTCTCCTCCACCCCCCCAGGTGTTCTTACTGGCACACGCCCAGGAGCGAGTGCAGGTGTGCCCCTTCATGGACAGTGAGCGCCGCACCACAGCGCACCTCACCCACTCACCCACCAACGTGCGCAGCTACCCCACCCGTCTGTTCACTCACTAACCCACACCCCCACCCTCCTGTCCACCTACTTCAGCTACCTATACATACACTCAACTACTCACTCACCCATGCATTCACTTACCTGAACACTTAGTAACTCACCCACTCACTTACCCACTCACTAACCTACTGACCATTCAATCGATCACCCCCTGACTCATCCACCTTGTCACACCCCCACCCATGCACTCACACTCCCGTTCATTCACTAACCCAACTCACTTACCCACTAACAACTTTGTCCTCCCAGACACCCTCTCAACTGTGGGACATTAAATCGATCATCCACTCAATCACTAATCCATCCGTTCACTACACTCATTCACCCACCCGCCCATCCATTCACCCAGCCACCCAATCATCCATTCAACCATCAACTAATCCATTGACCCAACCACTAATCCATTCACCCACCCACTAATCCAATCACTCACCCACTACTCCGTTCACCCACCCACTAATACATTCACCCATCCACTTATCGGTTCACCCACCCAAAAATATATGCACCCACCCACTAATCCGTTCAGCCGCCCACTTGTCTGAGCGTGTGTCGTCTACCTGCTGACCCTCCCACAGCCACCCTGCAGCTGCGTGTGTGGCTATCGGGACCAGAGGGGGGCGCGCTGCACGCGCGCGTGGCCGTGGAGCCGGCCGGCTGTGCTCTGCTCGTTCTCGCGTCGCTCTACGCGCGGGGCACGCCGGAGGAGGGCAGCGCGCGCACGGCGCTCGCCAACACACTGGAGCTCAGCGTCGAGGTGCACGCACAGACTCACTCGTACCAGCTGCTCACTCTTACAGCGGCTCACCTGTTCAGTGACTCACTCGTACACTGGCTCACTCGTACACCCGCTCACTCGTACACTCACTCACTCATACTCCGGCTCACTCGTGCACTCACTCACTTATACATTCACGCGTACACTCACGCGTACACTCACTCGTTTATACACTCACTTCTACACTCACTCACTCTTACCCTCGCTCACTTGTACACCGACTCACTCGTACACTGGCACGCTCACTCATACACCCACTCATACACTCACTCACACACTCGCTCACTGATACACCGGCTCACTCTTACACTTACTCGCTTATACACTGGCTCATATGCTCGCTCATTTTTACATTCACTTACACTCACTAAATTAATTGATCATTCATTCAGTCACTCAATGACCTACCTACCCACTTTCTCACTCACTCAAGTACTTGCTCATTCACGAACTCACTCACCCGCTCACTCACACACTCAATGACCCTGTATGACCCAGTGTCACCCTGTCTGCCAGAGTTTCCCCGTGACCTTTGAGCTGACGCAGCCCATGATGGACGCTATGCACCGCGGGGCCGTGTGCGTGCAGGTAACACACCTGCACGCGCACGAATGTGCGTGTGCGCGTGCGTGGAGAAGTGGGAAGCGGTAGTGTAGTGGTTAGCGTGGTGCACTATGAACTCACCCACGGTCAACACCAGTGACACTTATCCAAATCGGTCCTTGGCCTCCGTAGGTCGAATTAGCCCCAACATCACCACTGAAGAGACCAAGGCGGCTGAACGTGGTGTCGGCCATCTACTCCCTCGTGCGCCGTGCCGGCCTTCGTAGGCGCTCGCTAACAGCTCTTGCCCTAACAGTCTGTTCGGGCTATATGGGGGATCTTTGTGCGTGGGGAAACACGAGCCATTGTGGAATCTCGTAGGCTATCATGAGCGATTAAGGGCCATCATCAATAATCACAGATCACCATCAATATCCATAGCCATCAATTGGCTATTAGGGCAAATCTCAAACCATTGTGACCCATCACACACCATCATGAACTAGTACAGGGGTCGGCAACCTGCAGCTCCGCAGCCGCATGCGGTGGCTCTTTGACTGACCCCTTGCAGCTCTGTGGCTGCCACCTTGCGGGCAGCCATTTTATGAAAGCTGAATTGAGATCATTCAGTTCTTTACGCTGGAAAACGTGGCACAGGCGGTCTCCCCGCGTTTATGACGTTGCAATGCATTCCTGGAGACCCCGTCGTCAATCGGACCCCGCTCCCATAGATGTGTAATGAGTTGCACGAGGTCAGACCGCGTGCAAACACTCCACTCCAGATTCCATCAGGAAGCGCCCCGATCGCCCCGCCTCAGCTGGTGACGTCACCATTCTCCTCCTGGGCGTTCTCTCACGCCCCGCCTTCTCTCTCACGCCCCGCCTTCTCTCTCACGCCCCGCCTTCTCTTTGTTTTCCTTTGTGACGTCATCTTCATAGTAACCTGGGATCCCGTGGTTATTTCTACCTCCGGATCGCGTGAGTGTTAGCACTGCAGATGCAATGTCAGCGTCTTGGTGACAACAAAATGTACAACAGACAAACCGCATTGCTAAAGAATAAAACAGGAGAAAAAAAGACACCTAAATAGACGCAGTTGATTCGATCACCAATTTTTTTATACATTTTTATTTAGCTCACTGTCTGTTATTGTCGTATCCTCAAATCTTGTAACTCAATTTTAACCCACTTCCCAATGTGGTATCGACTGCAAACTTGGTATACTTATGTCATATTGATGACAATACTATATTCTATCATTACAAAAAAAATAAAACCATCTTTTTGTATATGTTATGTTTCGGCTTGGGTCTAATTGTCCACGCTCAACAGACATTGGCTGTAATTCACCACGGTCCCCTTACGTTATGGCAAGCTTCGGGGCCACTTTCTGGAGTCGTGGAGTTTTGCCACTACTTGTACGGTACATTTCATTAAAGCGTGTTTTAAAAAAAAGTATTTTTTAAATATTACTTTTATTGTTTATTTAAGTCAGAATGTGTGGCGTCATCTGCTGTATACCTGCTGCTATGTGTTGTGTACAAGCATCTCTTTCTGCGTGAAATGCAGCTCTCGAACTATTTTGTTAGAAAAAACACAAAAAAAGATCTCTTTTTCTTTGAAAGGTTTCCGACCCCTGAACTTGTACAAATCATCTCTAGCCATCGTGGGTTTTCACGAGCCATCACAGACCATCACGGCCCATCACGGCCCATCAGTGACCGCTCGTGTGTGTGTGGCTTAGGTGTGGAGCTCCAGCGAGTACCGGGTGCTGAGCCACACGGACTGCATCTCCACCCCTGCAGGTGCCGGAGTGCGCAGCAGCCACCTCACCACGCGCCGTGCCACAGGCTCGCAATGAACACCTTCACGGAACAGAGGACAACACCTGCATCACAAATATGGCCGGGGAAGGGGCAAGCGGTGTGGAGGGAAGAGCAAACTTAGCACTGGTTCTACCCCTAGCCAAAAACCTGGTCATCCAGAGACTAGCACGAGCTGTAACCCTGGCTCAAAGCTAACTTGCCCGCCAGATGGGAGTCTTTAGACCAGGGGTGGGGGAACGTCCGGGCCCGCGGGCCGTGTAAGGCCCGCGAAATCATTTGGTGTGGCCCTGCCAAGGCAACCGCAGGTGGGACTCGAAATTCAATAAATCTAGAAGCAAACCTGGAAAAGCAGTTGCGAGTAGCAACAACATCGTCAATACCGGCTAACATCATCACACGCCTCGCCAAAGAGAAGCAATTCCAGCCATCGCATTAGGGGTGAGTTAATTCAATGTTTGACCAAATATAACGGGCAAATTTTTTAAGTTGATCATTTTGTATGGCCCGCGAATGATTTTATAAATATCCAAATGGCCCTTGGCAGGAAAAAAAGTTCCCCACCCCTGCTTTAGACCTGACCCAAACCAACTCGGGCCCCTCTCGCGAAGAGCGACGGGAGCACTAGCAGCGTGCATGCCGCCCGGCTCCACTGCCACGCATGCGTGCAGCGCCCCCATCTGGTCCCGACAGACACCCGCAGTTTAACGCGTAGGCTTTCGCGACCCGCAGCTTGATTTCAGCCGGAACAACGTTCTGGTGGTGTTCGGGTTTCCCTGGTGGTGGCCTCTTGCTAACGAGGGCTCGCGGACCTGTTCGTAGGTTCCATAACAATGTTGGTCGAGTCACTCAGCATTGTGCAGAGCAATCATCGCCCCCCCCTACTGTGGAAACTTGGCAGGACCCTCCTAAGGAAGGACTCGTGAGACTCAGTAAGGCTTTCCACGGTAAACAAGTGTAATAATATAATACATTCAAATAATCTATAGACTGTATATAAATGGGACATTTGTGAATATGTGTGTTTAGCATACTTCCCGACATGCAACAAACCTGAAATTTTGCATGTGGGTAGCTTCCAGACTGTACACAATGCAAAAAGTATAAAAATAGACTTTTGTATATTGAGGGGGGGGGGGGCGCAATAATGGATATATTTTGCACGGCGAGTGAGCGGTGACGTCACATCTGTGATGTCACATCTGTGATGTCACCCGCATGCGGCAGCGTCACGCAGTGTGCCTGCTGACGTCACGCATCTTCCCCCCGACCCTCCGCGAAGGCACAAATGCTGCGCGGCACAGCTGTCTCGACGTTCTAAGTCAACGCGGCTATTTTCAGTTCGCTCTTAAATATAAAGCAGAAAATCCATCTGTTTGTGTGAAGCAGCAAAAACTCTCCAACGCTGAGCTCTGACGTCATGAAATTTGCACAGCTGACGCTGTCTGGAATTTCTAAGGGAACGCGACTCGTTTCAGCTCGCCACGTCACTCCCTTCCCGACTTGTCTAAATCGGCCTTACGTATAAAGTAGTGGGGTAAGGTTGCATTTCCTTGAGTGAAAACATCCCATTTTGTTAAATTGATTCGTTTCGGATTTTGTATTGCTTGCATCATTTTTTGTTAAAGGGTTTTCAGTAAAATAGAACTTGAAATTAATCGTAGACAAGAATCCAAGTGGTAAAGCTAGTAATATATTTTTAAGGCAAAGTGATTTCCTGTTCGAATGAGAGTTACGGCGGTGCTTATCTCTAGTTTACAGCTGGGAACCAGCGGTGGAAATTCCACATTCCTATGGTGGGGGGGGGGGGGTCTGTCCATAAGGCAACGACTTGTTTTCGCTACCCAAGATAGGATTGCATGGCACAATAATATAGGATTATTGTGGACCAGGCATACCTTGTGTTGTAGTGGTAGTGCCTTATGCCAATAGTCCCTACTTGCAAGCCAGCCTAGCAGCTTTTCATAAATTAATCCCAAGCTGCTGGGGAGTCGAGTCCGTAATGTTTGTCCTCCTAAGCCGCTCCTCTTGCCTCTCTACCACCGCCCCGCACGCTCCTTCTAGGATCCCTCCAGTTCCTCCTGCTCCTCCTCCTCCTCCCGTTCGTTGGGGCGGTGCTGCTCGCTGTGCGGTTCGCACGCGGAACGCGGCACAGAGAGAGGTCCCACGCACGGGGAGGTGAGCGGTGGCGTACTCACCACCACTCCCCACAACTCACCACCACCACTTGCCACAACTCACCACCACGACCACCACACCCTGTACCGCTCACCGCCACCACACCATGCATCGCGCACCATCACCACCACACCCTGCACCGCTCACCATCACGACTACCCCCTACACCGCTCACCATCACCACCACACCCTGCACCACTTACCACTCGTGCTGCGATATCCGATTATTTGAGTGATTTGAGTGATTGATTTCCCTACCGATTACTAGTTCGATTACTCGACCAAACGAATAACACAGATTCTCAGGAGTAGTTTTATAATGTCCAATCCCGGGCGTCGTTCGCCGTCACAAGCGTGCACTGCTCGCTGAATTTTTTTCCTAATGGACGCTTCACCTCTCGACACAGCACCCAGGGCACAACCAGCACAATTCGGGTTACTTTTGTCAAGATATTCGTTGCAAATCAGATGTTGAAATCACACGCGGCAACAAATAACCGTTGTCTCATCCCCTGCCAGGTGGATTACCGATGACGGAATCGCCGCTCCTCCGCTCTTCGACCGCGACGCCATCACCGCCATCATCGTTAGCACTGTCACCGTCGCCTCCGCCGTCGTCGCCGCCACCACTACCCTGGCCGCCCCTCCTCATCGTCCACTCGCACGACCAGGCCATACTTCACCGGGCCGTGCTGCAGCTGGCGTGGCTGCTGCGCGCTCGCTGCGGGCACGCGCTGCGCGTGGTCCTTGACGCGTGGGAGAGCGTGCGTCTCGCCCAGCTGGGCCCAGCTCGCTGGGTCGCCACCTCCTTAACCTCCGTTGTCTCCTCCACTACCTCCTCTTCAACGTCCTCACCATCATCCCCAGCAACAGCATTCCCATTTGCATTTTCCACGGCATCCTCATCCCCGTCATCTCCTTCGGTGTCATCGTCGTCATCCGCTTCTTCTCCGTGGTGGTGGTCGTGGAGGAGGAGAAGGAGGAGCGAGGAGGAGATGCGTGCCACCGTGCTGGTGATCTGCTCGCCGGGCACGCGAGGTCGGGGTGCGGGGGCTGAGCCCAGAGGGGACGGTGAGATGGGAACCCCCTCACCACCACCACTACTAACGCACTACACACACACACAAAGTTACTGAAGCATCTCCACTCCTGCCTTCCACTTCAGTTATGCTGGCAATTCACCCCGGCTCTTCGGTTCTTACAATCGACCAACCCTCTACTCATACCAAATTATCACCCCCAGCATACGTGAGCCCCAATTATACCCCAACGTACAACCCCCCTCCCCACCCCCCCCCCGGTTACATTTATTTTGACCACACCGTGTGCCCCAGCATACAGGACCCCTAATTATACCCCTGCGAATGGGACCCAAAATCATACGACAGTGTATGGGACCCCCCCCCCCCCCACAATCTATCCCTCTGGGCCATACATTTTCCTAGAGATAGTGCACCTTAGCCCCCCCTTAGTCCTATTAACTCCCCTAGTCCCATTAATCCCCTTAGTCCCATTCAAGCTTGTTCCACCTTCCAATCCCTTCCCAGAAAATAACCCCCTGTGGACGGTTCCCTGTGAACCCGGTAATTACGTGTTTTATGTCACTGTTGGACTGAAATATAGAGCTTACTTTGCACATGTAACTTGTCTCTCATATTGTTCTCGTGTGCACTTTACGGAGTGCCACAGTGGCGAGATGTTAACTACCTCGCTTGATGTACAGCTCATGGGTTCCTTCCCGACCCTGACGCCTCTATATTGGGACTTTGCATGCTCTCCTGATGGTTGCGTGGATTTCTCTTTGGGTCTTCTTTTTCTATCCAGATGTATAAACATTTGTTTTGGACTTCTATATATTTCCATGTGATAAGCCACTCCGTTGAGCTATCATTTGTGGCAGGTCGCCTCTGAAAACGAGCTATATAGCTCAGTGAGCCTCGCCTGGTAAAATAAAAATAGTTTAGAACAATAAAATAGTTTAGTTTTAGTTCAGTTTATGACCGTTAAACGCCTCATTTACTAGTTGTGTAATATTCATCAAGGCCCCTGCTTCACTCGTTGGTGCCGCTGCTCGCTCTATTCACGCAGCACCACGGATCTCCCGTCTCAAATATCCGGGTAGCCGGCTAAACGGAACCACCAGGGTAACAAACCCAAACAAACTAAAAACGTTAAACACGGGACCCAAAGTGCGCACTAACCTGCCCCCCTCTGCCCCATTCACCCCTCACCTCCCACACCTTATGACAGTGCTGGACGCCACCCTGGAGCTATTGCTGGGTGCCCCCCACTGCGGTGGGGGGCCACGCGTCCTGGTGGCGTGTCTACGCGGCGCGGGGGGCCCCTCGGACGTGCCCCCCGCGCTGAGGTCGCAGCCCTGCTTCTCGCTCCCGCGCGACCTGGACGCTCTGTGCGCGAGGCTCCTGCAGGGTGCGCCCAGGGCCCAGGGGTTGGGGACTCACCGGGGAGGGGCCTGGGACCACCGGGAGGACCTGGAAGCCTCGAGGGCCCTGGAGGCCCTGGAGGCGACGCTCTCGGAGCTGGACGACGCGAGGCAGCGCGTGAACCTGCTGGGCATGGACGAGGAGCGGGAGGGGGTGTGGGGTGGCCTTGCCCCACCACGCTCACTCGCGTCCAGCGTGACCGACGCGGGACGAGGAGATGTCACGACGGCCATCTGACGGCCAGCTGCCCGGACATTTGGACTGAGATTTTTTTTACTAGATAAAGGCAAAAGCGCAGCCCCACAATTTCTTTGTGATGCCACTGCTGGCAAAAAGGCCTCTACTATAAGAACTCCAGAGAGTCACTCTAAAATGTGTTTGGCCTACTCTTCCATGCTGCCCAGACGTCCTGTGAGAAATAGGAGTACCCACATTTTACCCCAACACACATGACTTGCTGAGTGGACAGAGGTGAGGAGTGTTAGGGGTGTAGGGGAGGTTGTGATTTCAGAAAACGTTCGCACCGTTTAAACCACCACATCTGGAGATCGCATCGAACGGGAGGGGACCTCTGCTGGATTGCAAGCCCAGGGGGCTTCACCGGTCAGACAAACTGAAATTGCAAAGCACGGCAATTCGGAGGAGGCTTTCATCCAGCAGTGGATTGACAAGGGGGATGTGAATGGTTAAGTTATTCACGTGGTGTTTGTGAAATGCTGCGAATGGCGCTGTCCGTGAGTGTGGATGCGCAACACCCACCCAGTATTAACTGCATTGAGGAAATTGGTGAAAATTTAATTCGTCTCAGTGTTTTCCTTTTTTTATTTAAAGTCAACGATGACCGTGAGCGGACGACTTCCGCCACGCGTGACGATGATGACTGGTGCTAAACCACAGATGAGCGTTCGTGAGCGAGTGGGATTAGATGAAACCGTCGAGTCTGCATGAAGCAAGGTGCTCAAGAGTAATAACTATATCAGAACTTTAATATTGTAAACTTTAATCATTGCATTTCCAAATGTTTTGTGAGGAAATGAAAAAATCAACAGGCAACGATATGACGATATTCTGACCTATGCGTGTGTATGATGGCAATGTGTTCAGGAGTTAAATGTCAATGTCGAGGTCTGCTGCGATTCACGACGAGAGGGCTTCAGCAGAGAGAGTTTGTGTAGTTTTGCTGTACCACTTCCTCCTCCGTTGAAGGAACAGACTACAGTGGTTTACGATACCGTCCATAGTTTAAAATGCATGGCCACAGCCACACTCCTGTGGCTTGTGTCTTTAATGTTTCATTCATTAAGGAGATGTGTGCATCAGCCCGTTGATGTTCTCACGTGGTTGATGATTACAGCGGTATTTGAGGAATGTCATAGCCAGGTATGTGATGTTTTGGTCTTGAACGAGGTATTTCTGGACGTCCGCGTCGTTCCACTCTCTTCGCCTGCGTTCTTCCAGATCGGGGTGAGATTCCTGAATGGGGACAGCGCAATCCCAGACGGAGGGATTGGGACTCGAGTCGACTGAGAGGTTAATTGTTAAAGTTGTGGGTGATTATAGGTGGTTGTTGTTGGCAATTAAACGTGGAAACTCCTTTGCAAATATTGTGCATCATACCATTGGAACCTCCTTTGCCAGTAGCAAAATATGATAATTGTTTTTTACCCTTTTATCTGGCAACAAAACTGACACATTTTTTACAAGGAGTCATGTTTGCATTGACCACTATACCTGCGGTCGGAATGCAAACAATGCATACATTATCAGGGTCATGTTTTTTGTTTGCATTCCGACCGCAGGTATTGTGGTCAATGCAAACATGACTCCTTGTAAAAAATGGTGTCAGTTTTGTTGCCAGATAAAAGGGTAAAAAAACAATTATCATTGTGCATCATCTCAACGCAAAATACGTATCATCTTAAGCGTGGAATCGTTTGCATATTAAGAATCTGAAATAAAAGCGATGAAGGAGAAACGTGTGACGTGACTGCCGCTGTGTTCTTGGAACTCTGGTGCGAAGTCTGGGCATCTAGTGAGGTTCGGTACACCATAACTCAAACTCGTGGCATCACCTTGGCGAGGAGATGTTGTCTTGCTCGCTTGGCATGCAGTATCGCGTGGGTTCAACCCTGGACACTGGCGATGCCCGTTGTATATTTAGAGCTTGCGTGTTCTCTCTACTTAGTGGTCACCTGGATTTTTCTCGGCATCCTCCGGTATTGCTGCTCTATGGGTGAGCGGGGCCTATGATCAGTGGGCAGGGTATATGAACAGCTGGTAGTATAGGCATGGATTTGTAAAAGTAAGAGGGGCAGATGGAGAGAGGGGCTACCAATTCACCATGTGTCTTGGTTGAGCCTCCCAGAAAAGTTGTAGTCTTCACCAAAGAACAATGAATGCATCGTGGTTATTTCTCCTGTCTGTTTCCGTGTTAAGGCCTGGTTCGTGTCATGCCCGGTGAGTTTTTGTTTTGCCATTCATGTTCGTCGTGTTTATTTGTGCATGTTTTGGAGTTAGTTTTTCTGTTTCCACACCAGGAACACCAATGATTTTTGATATTTGTAAACAAAACAACCATGACAAATTGTACCAATTCAGGATTTCTATTGAATTTACAAATATGGTATTTACGTAATGTACGGGTGTGCAAATGGAAACCCAAGATGATCGTATGATCACCCCAGGGTGCTTTTAAACATTCTAGAAGGCTTCAGAGAGGTTCCCGCTTGGCAGAGAAATGGTCTGATGGGCAAAACAGTCCTGCGGGCAGACACACAACGCATAATATCGTTTTTTTTTGGGTTAGATCGCGTGCTTATAAATGTGTCGTTAAACTCGCCACCACCCGACACAGCCAATTAGTAAGGTTTGTCCCGGAAACAGAACATGCCAAGTGTTTACTCGTACAGCACACCGGTGTGTTGGAGAGCAAATCCACAACATTTACAATCTGAGTACGACGTTTCGCCAGTAATTTCAAATGGCTTCATCAGGCGACAGCCAGATTTGTGGAGAAATCCCCCTGTTTCGTTCCTTAAATAGGATAGATGTGATGACGTCACTTGTGAGCCCTTCACGTGGGAAGGGGGCTTCACGTGGGAAGGGGAATTCATAAATGCATCTACATTACAATGGGTATCCATTGCCGGTTGGATTATGCGTATGGTAATAAACATACATTATGCAAAGACATTATACATGCACATTGTTCTTTATGCAAGGACATTATGCATGCACATTGTTCTTGTACTTCCTGTCATTTGTGTGCAATAAAATAGCAGTGCCTCATCATTAGACCTCCTTTGCCAGTACCAAAATATAATAATAGGGGTTTTCCCCTTTTTTTCTGGCAAAAAAACTGAAACCTTTTTACAAAGATTCATGTCTGCATTAACGACAATACTTGCAGTCAAAATGCAAACAGAAAGCTGTCTCTGGTGTAGACCAATCAGTTTCAAGGACAATGCATATATTATTAGAGTTTGTTTTTTGTTTGCATTTTGACTGCAAGTATTGTGGTTAATGCAGACATGAATCCTTGTAAAAAGGTTTCAGTTTTGTTGCCAGAAAAAAGGGGAAACCCTATTATTATTATAGCAGTGTTGATGTATGGTGAACTGTATAGGCATGCATTTAAACAATGTATTATTTCATGATTCGCTTCCAAGCAGCACTAAGCCTGTCGCTAACCGAAAGGTTAAAAAAAAAAATATCTTAATTTAGGTAGATGATCTAATTAGTCTTGGCCAGTAGTAACATAGCATTTGCAGAACACAAAACAAATAGCGATTAACGTGGACACTCGAGTCCTGGCAGCCCAACAGCCCAGAGTGGGTTTTACAGGGCCAACCAGTGGCAGCGTGCCAATAGAATACCCCACTCTGGTGTCGAGTGTTGTCAAAGTGAATATTTTTTTAATAAAGTTATTCTAATATAGCCGCTGATTCTTAATCAGGAATCAATGCACGCTGGTCAAAGGCTTGTTCAACCCAAAGCTCACTTGTAGAGAAGTTATCGGCGCATGCGTGGTTGTTCTTTTTGGGTGTTTATTGAACAGTCCGACACATGCGTAAAGAGTCACCTGGCAAATGTTCCACCCATCATCGAGCTTATCCCTGAACTCGTCCCTGCCTTTCCCCTTCAACCCTCCTGACCAATCACCTTCCACACCTCCTCCCGAGATTCATCTCGTGGAAACCACCAGGGCTGCAAATAGTCTTTCTCGGCCTCGCTGTGCGCTGCGTTGCACCACTATCCGAGTAGATAACCTCGCATTCAATAAACCTTCAGAGCCAGGGTGAACATCCGACTCCAAACGTATTTAATAAATTGAACGAGGTAAAACTGATGGAAAAATACAGCACAAATACAGCATCTGTTAATACTTGGAAATATCAATACAATGAATGAACACTACAGCATCATAACATTGTCTTAGATAACATGAAACTCACCAATAGGTCATGGATGGACCAGGCACCTACATTAGTACTGAATAGCTATACAGGAGAATAAGCTACTGTGTTAAGGGCACATCGTGTGATCACCATGCTGCAGCCTAAATGTACAGCACTACACATAACACTGAACTGTGGATGAGATATTTCGTCATCCTTGCTCTCAAGATCGCAATAAGGTTACATGGGTACGAGTCTGACTCGACTTATTCATTTACAGTGAGGGAAAAAAGTATTTGATCCCCTGCTGATTTTGTACGTTTGCCCACTGACAAAGAAATGATCAGTCTATAATTTTAACCGTAGGTTTGTTTGAACAGTGAGAGACAGAAATAACAACACAAAAATCCAGAAAAACGCTTTTCAATTTTTTTAAAAATTTATTTGCATTTTAATGAGGGAAATAAGTATTTGACCCCCTCTCAATCAGATGATTTCTGGCTCCCAGGTGTCTTTTATACAGGTAACGAACTGAGATTAGGAGCACACTCTTAAAGTGAGTGCTCCTAATCTCAGCTTGTTGCCTGTCTAAAAGACATCTGTCCACAGAAGCAATCAATCAATCAGATTCCAAACTCTCCACCATGGCCAAGACCAAAGAGCTCTCCAAGGATGTCAGGGACAAGATTGTGGACCTACACAAGGCCTACACTGGAATGGACTACAAGACCATTGCCAAGCAGCTTGGTAAGAAGGTGACAACAGTTGGTGCGATTATTCACAAACGGAAAAAAACACAAAAGAACTGTCAATCTCCCTCGGCCTGGGGCTCCATGCAAGATCTCACCTCGTGGAGTTGCAATGATCATGAGAATGGTGAGGAATCAGCCCAGAACTACACGGGAGGATCTTGTCAATGATCTCAAGGCAGCTGGGACCATAGTCACCAAGAAAACAATTGGTAACACACTAAGTCGTGAAGGACTGAAATCCTGCAGCGCCCACAAGGTCACCCTGCTCAAGGAAGCACGTAAACATGCCCGTCTGAAGTTTGCCAATGAACATCTGAATGATTCAGAGGACAACTGGGTAAAAGTGTTGTGGTAAGATGAGACCAAAATGGAGCTCTTTGGCATCAACTCAACTCGCCGTGTTTGGAGGAGGAGGAATGCTGCCTATGACCCCAAGAACACCATCCCCACCGTCAAACATGGAGGTGGAAACATTATGCTTTGGGGGTGTTTTTCTGCTAAGGGGACAGGACAACTTCACCGCATCAAAGGGACGATGGACAGGGCCATGTACCGTAAAATCTTGGGTGAGAACCTCCTTACCTCAGCCAGGGCATTGGAAATGGGTCGTGGATGGGTATTACAGCATGACAATGACCCAAAACACACGGCCAAGCAACAAAGGAGTGGCTCAAGAAGAAGCACATTAAGGTCCTGGAGTGGCCTAGCCAATCTCCAGACCTTAATCCCATAGAAAATCTGTGGAGGGAGCTGAAGGTTCGAGTTGCCAAACGTCAGCCTCGAAACCTTAATGACTTGGAGAAGATCTGCAAAGAGGAGTGGGACAAAATCCCTCCTGAGATCGTGTGCAAACCTCGTGGCCAACTACAAGAAACGTCTGACCTCTGTGATTGCCAACAAGGGTTTTGCCACCAAGTACTAAGTCACATTTTGCAGAGGGGTCAAATACTTATTTCCCTCATTAAAATGCAAATCAATTTATGACATTTTTGACATGCGTTTTTATGGATTTTGTTGTTGTTATTCTGTCTCTCACTGTTCAAATAAACCTACCATTAAAATTATAGGCTGATCATTTCTTTGTCAGTGGGCAAACGTACAAAATCAGCAGGGGATCAAATACTTTTTTTCCCTCACTGTAGGGCAGTCTGCACACAAATGTCACCCTCCCTCAGCAGTTCGCTTGGGAGATCACCTCTGCCTAGCACTTTTCCTCGTCTTAGACTCTAGATTGCTTTCCGTACTTCCTCAACAGATGACATCTCAGCCAACCACTCACAAGGTGCGACTCCTTCTTCCGAGATTTGAGGCACGGCAGCCTCAGCAGGGGTATCCCCACTTTCCCCCATGATGTTGTCTGGGTTGAGGGATTTCCCTTTCCCTAAGACCTCAGAAATGTTTCACAAATCTGCACACCTGTCCTTGGGGGTTACAGATCGGATCACCTTTCTTTCCCGTAAGGATTGTGAATTCTGTGCCGTTGCAAGTTACTTTTTTGATGGAATTAAAGAGTGATTTGTAATCCCGGGGTACTAAG